CGTGGATCTCACAGTATTGTTTGTTCCGTGTAATCCAATTATAGGTAAATGTATACCCTCACCTGGCGACCAGAGCGGTTGGAATGCAATGTCGCGGCTCTCAAACATTGCTCGTAGAGTGAAAACAGGGGTTGATAGATGTGANGGATTTTTCCGCTAATTCCCGTGGGAATTTCGGTAATTACTTGTTGTAAATAAGTTTTACCTAAGTTTACTAAGGTACCTACATGCCAAATTTCAAGCGTCTAACTTCCGTTAAGCGTTTAGATTTTTCATACAAAAGGATTTTCCCGCTAATTCCTGTTCCCGTGGGAATTCCTAAGTAAACTATAACCTGCCCAGGTGTATGAAGAATAATTGTACCAAGTTTCGTTAAAATCCGTCGAGTAGTAATTTGTAGAGAATTTAGTATTCTACAATATTGATAATAAATACAAATAGCAAAAAACCCACAGGAAATGAGATATTTCTAAAAAAAGCGCAAAAAACCGATTTTTGTGACCGTTGACCTTGAAATTTAATAGTTGCTTACACCCTACCATATGTAGGTTTTGAGACAACTTTTAGGGTGTCAATATACACGTATTTACAGACTTACAGCTGGGTATCTCGAATTCCGAGGTGAACTTACTATAATGACTGGACTATTTGGACAAACCTCAAGAGGATTTAATAAGGTACTATCAATACATGTAGAGCCCATAAGTCAATCAAATAAGTAAAAACTCATAAACTGCATCTAACTTAACATGTGTGACTACTGTCAAATACATACCTGCCTTGTTTTGTATAAAAAACAATTTTAATAAATAGATCTAAAGCTTACTAGTCTTGATTTGAACTCCACTTATTGTTACAGAATTTTCCAATATTGAAACAATAGAGAGGGCTTAAATTAATTTTACTTAATCAAATATCGTCTTTGTTGAGCAGTTTGTAACAAAGATTAATTTGGGCTTTCTTGACTAAACGCCGTTAATTTTGTGACAAAAATAAGACTGGAATGTTTTGAGCTACCTGCAAAATATCTCAGTACCTATTACAATGTGGAAATTCAAGTCTATCAAACAAAGATTAGTGGGTCTAGACAAATTGCAAATTATAATCGCAAACCAGTCGAAAAGTGGTCGAAAAGCCCCTTTTTTGTATGGAGTTTTGACGGATTCGATTTTCGATTCGATCAAAAAGTGCGTTTTGTCTAGGGGGGTAGGTAATCAAATATCTGCCACCATAAATCTAATATCTGTCATCAAATCGAACGTCGCGTTAATTCCTTTCGGCTTAAGGATATTACAGGAAATTGCCCATAAATCTCTGGTCATTTTGGCAAGCTTCGGCCAAACCAACGCGTGCAGCTCGCTTCGACTATGGCGATGGCGATCACTGCGCGTGCATAGATCGCCGCGACCGATGACAGGACGCGTTGATGTGAACTCATCGCTACAAATTCATACCCGACAATAGGCCTAGCTTAGGCGCGCGGTGATAAGCGGTTGTCACGCCATTTTATAGATTTTTCCCATACATTTTGACGTCAATAAAGTATATCACGGCGCACATTCTAGCCCGGCATTGCCATCTCCATCGTTATCGCGCACGCTGGCTGCACGCGTTGATTTGGCCGAACTTAGGTCTCAACTGCCCGCTCTAATAATTTCCATAACTTTGGGTACTAAAGTCTTCTCACCCAAACCAAGAGGGTAAGTTTTAAGCGTTATTAATTTTTACGTGAAGTTAAACAAAGTGGTTATTACGCGGTGGTTAAATTAAGTTCGGTGTTTGAACAAGAACAAATAACGAGATTGGTTTGATAAGTTTAAAATTGAAAATGGAAACTTTATTTTTCTTGTAATAGTACTTTATATTAATATCAGAGATTTTACAAGTGCTGCTGCTAACTAATGTAAACATTGGCAAGTTTTTTAATTTAATTTAATTGAAAATAAGTTTAACAGCGACTACTATTTACATTATCAAGTCTATTGTGTCTACTGTCTATATTATTAGGATAGAGGGCAAAAGGATTTTTAGCTCCTACAAACGTGCATATTCGTAGTTTGTGAGCGAGTAAACAACGTTATTAAAACTTTACTTGTAAGATGTATCGAAATTTAGTTAAGGCTCATAAGCGGTCTAGATTGAAATAGGGCTAGGAAAGTGAAGGTAACTGGCTGGGTGGCCACCCCGAAGATGAGCCGCGCTCCAGTTGGCGCGGTAATTAATGGAATATCTGCCAGGGTCGAACCGTATGGCCTCAAATTCCTTAAAAAAAGCAATAAAACACAATTAATGATTGTGCAATATGTATAAGGATATTAATTTTATAACAAAACCACTCATAAATATTCTTGTCATAACATGAATTGCAGCTAACAATTTCTAGCTTATTTTTATTACGTTTTTCTCCTGGACAAGAACAGTCCCCAAACAGTTCGGTTCGTGGTTAATGTAGGTGTTTTCACATGTTTGATTCCGGCCTAAACGAATCGGGATACAATTTGAAAGTCAGACTTAGGTTGAGAGAGTCCAACTAACTTAGATCTAACCTTTAATAAGCGAGATGGTATTTCATTAAAATATAAAGTACCTACTTAAAGCATTGGATTTTATTAGAATGATAAGAAGTGCTAAACAACCTCTGCATGAAAACCTCGCGATCCTTATTAAACAAACCAACAAAAATATTTATGAATTATAACCTTCGCACTTGTAACATAAAAAATGCAATTTCAATAGAATACATGAGCATCCCAAATACAAACTAGCGCTTCATTAAAATTTCAGCCGAAATCCGTCCCTGGTGACACATGAACATGACATGGCTGAGACCCGCTGACCTGCTTCCCTTCAGGCACCTGCTACTAGTCAATTTACCTTTAAAAAAAATCTCGGAAAACCTCGGCCGAAAGAAAAGACCTATGTTGACACAACACACATATAACCCCGCGCCCTCGTTTCCCTGCCACGCGAAAATCTCGCGTGAACTCTTTCACATCTTTGCTTTTACTGACCATATTTCTATGAATGGACCGCCGGCTGTTCAGACCTTCTTGGCAGTTTGGAGAATGCTTAGGAATGGTTGAGACCTGCCGCGTGTTTACGGTATTCAAATTGCTGTCACATGTCGTACACAAGGTTTATGCATGCAGCTGCTATTGTGGGATTTAATAAAAAAGTATTTCATTCATGAATTCGTCTGAGTTCGCGGATCAAGCACGTTTTTCCGTCAGTTTATGAACCTTTTTCAGCAAGTACTGAGCAAAAGGGTTAGCTAGCAATGAAACATTAGTAATGCAGCTGACACTTAAAAAATATTATGGATTAATAATGTATAATTATAATGTTATTTTCAGCGTCAACTCAACCACAATTAATATTACTTCTATTTATTTATTTATTTATTTAAAACTTATATGCACATAGAACGGTGTACATAAGGCGGACTTAATGCCTTTCGGCATTTCTACTACCAAAACCAGAAACTATGATTGCCTTCTTAATTTGAATAAAATGAAAAAAGAAACCAGTCATCTCTTTACCTACATAATTTTGCAGTGCGTCTTGCACAGGTGCTTCAAAGCTCTTGAAGATTTGTTTTCTACATCATTCTATCGCATACTTATTCTAAGATAAACGTTATGCACCTTAACAAAGGGCAGATCTTCTCCAACACGTTCTCGTAAAATGTGCAAAATCAACAGAAAACTGATTTACGCAAAGCGCCGGGCGCAAAGTCGTAAATAATGCAAGATTGCATCGCAAATGCGATCCGTCTGCGTAGCGAGAGATGAATAATTCAGGCAAGTCCTAGGTACTAGATTGAGGAAATCCGATCGGTAACTGCTTGAAAACTTGTCTTTGCACGCGTATGCAGAGGTTGGCTGGAACAAGTGCAGGCTCAATAAACAGACTTACGGTGGATCGCAGGTGGAAATCCCGAACGGAACACTTTTACGACTATTGTGACTATTTCTCTTTTTGAACAAACCGTACTGACTCTCGCAAAACATTTTCAAAATATATAAGCAAACTGATCTCATGTTAAGGTTTACTCGTAAATATACATTATATCGATTTTAATATCTATTTCATACACTTTAAACACACTCTATCAAAATCTGATCGACAACTTTTAAATTCAGTATTAGCTAATTTCCATTCAAGTGTTTTTGTCAAAAATCAAAATAATAACAATTGAAATTTTATGTGCTTGTATCAAATGCCTATCATTATAATCGTTCGTTCGTTTCAGCCAAATGACGTCCACTGCTGGACAAAGGCCTCGCTCAAGGTTTTCCATAATGAACGGTCCTACGCTGCCCGCTATCATATAATGCTACAATTAAAACAATTTATCACATCAAAACAATAGCTGCTAACATGCTGTGTTGAAACCATAAAAGTGATAATAATTTTCAACGACACGCATATGGTTAAGTATTGTAATACTTCCTGGCGTTTTCTGAGCATGTAACAAATGCTTGTCACTTAATAGACCCTGGATTATCTACTTCAAATTCCCTTAATCCCGTAAATCCAAGGGAACGGCTCGGTTACCAACTCCACAGGGATCATCCTATCTACCGCATGTTTAATTTTGACGAGCGGTTAACATACAAGAACGTTCCAGAAAAATTAAATTTTTCATTAATTGTTTTGATAAAAATTTACCCTTGAGGACTGAGTTATTATTTACCAATGTTTTAAATAACTTTATGGGAATAAGTAAAAAAAATGCATGTGCCTACTTGAAGCCTTAAAGTGACTAAGGGTAATTAATTAGTTTAATACTTATCGCACTAATAAGATCACTCATAATTATATTTACAATTAAACATTATATAAAAATACTGGCACGCATACATGTAGTCCTATTACCTACTCATATAATCCAGTAAAGGCACGACGTAGCCGTGATAGGTGCCTACTATTGTGCAACGTAGCAGGGCAGACTACTAAGTGCCACAAATCCTCTGGCCGACGCTCCGGCCAGTCCGCAGTCGATAATATCGGTCACCACACGCCTTATAAAATATGTTTACAATATGGCCGCTATTTTAACTTCCGTGATTTTGCTAGCTTACTTAACTCAGACAAGTGTCGGCGCAAACTCAAGCGCCTTAACTGCATTACCAGAGGTCTCCACAGAAGCGCTTTTTGCCTTGCAAATCCGACAAATAAAGACGTCGTCAGATCCGGAGCCGACGGCCGTCCCCGGAAACAATCTAAACGACATTGGCAGCACCAATCCCGACAAAGATGTACCCGAAGAAAATTCTCAAGCAATCTCAACAATTTACTCTATCAAAGATAAAAAACGTAACGGCGATGAACGAGGAAACGTTGAATTACTTCCATTTGATGGCAAAGACGAGAAAAATAACGATGGAAATGCCACAAAAAGTTTAGCTGAGGACGTTATTGAGGAAGCATTGCCTTTAGTTTGGGATTCGTGTTTGGAGACTACTTATAGGGATAACCAAAAAAATGTAGTGAAAGCTTCTAATGACATGGAAATAGCTAATAGTGATTTTCAGGCAGAATCAGAAGAAAATGTAGAATTCAGTGGATTTTTTAACAAAAGAGACACGGAAGGTACCAACTTTACCGTGTCTATGAAGCCTTGGCTGGCCAAGTTGAACAGTCTAAAGAGTGTTAGAAGTGAAGAAAGACGGCAATTAAAAGAATCGATTTTCATTAAGAAAATTTCTGATGAACCTACAACTACAACTACAACTGAACCGATTGCTTCGACTATGTCAACTGTTAGAATAATTCCAATAACGCGAGAGATATTTAAAGATTTAGAGGGGTCTCTGAACGCAACTCAAAAGCCAGTTGTAACGGAAATTAGTATAAAAGCGAGTTACACCGAAGATTGGTTCGAAGCGAAGGACAGGGGTAAAATAAGATTTAGCGGCCTCCCTCAGAGAGAAACCTATTTGATTCCGGCGCTTAAGCTAGAGGAAGGCTTCCATCCGTTCTCCTTTATGTCGGAGTTTTTCACGGTGATCTACCCTTTTGACTTCCCTGTAGGTGAGTGAACTTTCAGTTTAATTTCGATGTATGTTAATGGCATTAATGCTTAACCTCAGTCTTGGGAAACGGTTTAAACCTAAAAGCTGAATAAAAACAGGTACCTACTGAACATTGAAGCTATTTATTTGATTTTCTGTATAATTTTAATATTATTTTTCAAGTCTCGGAATTTGTCGCAAAATAATTACAATTATCTCTCCTAAATTTTGTTATGTTTTATAAATTATGATTTAAAGTTTCTCTTGGCATAACTTAAGGCACAGTATTCAGTTATTAATCACAATCAGCTACTAACAGCTTTTAACAACATATTATACCTACTTAATACTACTGAAAATGGCTATTAATTTTGCACTGAAATACTAGGTTCGATCCCTAGATATTAGTGGTTTAGTTAGTACTTGAATTTCACTATTTCCGAGAAATATATTAATATAGCCACAATACCTACTCGTATTTACTAAGCCAAAAGCAGTATGTTATTGTTCTATAATATTTAGATGCCATATTTAATAAATTATTTATTTTATTTTAAACCTTTTTGAACATTAAATAGGTGTACAAAAGGCAAACTTAATTATTCTCTACATTATGTGACATACGGTTACGATTTCTATGGAATTACGCGAAACAAGTTGTGTAATAGCTTCATGGAATTTAAATCAGAAGCTAAGTTAGGTACTTACTACTTAAACTCGTACATTTAGGCTGAGTTGCACCATCTTATTTTACCTTTAAAGGGTTAAGAAACGTCAAAAATATGTCAAATTTCATACATAAACATCGGGCATTGTTAGAGTAGGCGCACACCTTTGATTTTTCGTCGGCCGATAGTTTAGTCGGGCAGTTGATCAGTATGGGCATGTATGGGAGTGCGCACACTACGCCGATTCGATTTGGCCGATTCTTCATACAAATTAAAATCGGGCATAACTATCGGCCAACTAAAAATCAACGGTGTGCGCCTACTCTTATAGTTACGGTTAAAGTATGTTGGTGCAACTCAGCCTTTAATATAGATCTTGTACCTATTGGCAAAAGTCGCCGTGCGTAGTCTATCTATACGGCTACAGGAAATACAGTGGCATCTTATGGAGCTGTAATAGGAGCGATTTTCCAACAAAAAGTTTGGTATGATGTAGTGACGAAAGGCAGTACAAATTAAGCTGAGTTTATGCCTATGCCTGCACCACAGAGCAGTAATGAATTCAGAGAATCGGCTTTGAAATCTGCAATGCAATAGCGACCTGCTTTTGATACGGCTGATTTGATTTTTCCTCCGTTATCCATCATCTGCAATTTAAATTAGTTTTGTGCATTTTTCTTAAGTTTATTTTAATAGCAACTCACGGCTACGCCCGGGTGAAAATAAATTTTTCACAGATCACAAATTATACCATTTATTTATATTATTATGTTATTTTGATGTATAAACAACAATACTGTAAAGTTTCATCGGAATCCGTTAAGTAGCTTTTGCGTGAAAGAGTAACAAACATACAACCTTACAAACTTTCACATTTATAATATTAACAGGATTTTATTTGAGTCGAGGATGTAATTTATTATAGAGTAGGTATTCTTATCTTGCATTTATCGTTGAACAAAAAAGTAATCTTTGATTTTAATTTGTAAACGTATGCTATAACAATATAAGAAAGGCATTCTCTTTCAATCAACCTTTGAGTCATATAGAAAATTAGAGTAGGCAGTGCATAAGTATTGACGTTGGAAAAATAGTAGGTCAAACGTAAATACGTACCTACTTCGGACTTATTTTTATTTTATTTATTTTTACTTATAAATTGTAAACTGTATTATTCCTCCATTTATAGGTCTTATCAAGGATATTGTTTGGGGAAAGTTCACTTTTCCCTATTCCTTTATTCAGGTAATAGTGTGATTTCTTGTTAATTAGTTAAGTAGTTGCTAATTTAGATCGCTCTTATAATTAACATTGGAAATACCTCTAAGGCATGATTTTAAGATTAGTACCAATAAATATATAATGACTTAAGTAAATAAACTATTAAAGATATGACGTTATAGGTATGTAATTTGACTCACAGCTGGTCATTCAAGCCTGAAATAAGCTACCCATTACAATTTTCACCGTAGTTTTCTAGCACTAAAGAGATTGTTTGCCAAAAACCACATTCAAACCCCAAGATCCACTTGTCTGTCGGATAAACCAACGGGCATTGACGTTTTAAAAGAATCACTTCCTTGTAACTCGATAATGTTCACGCATTAGACCACAGAATTTACCTGTCATCCTTACAGCTAAGCATTTAGAATTCAAAGTCGAATAGCTCGAGAAAACGCAGAAGACATACATAACAAAACGTCTAGGAACGTTAGTGAGCCAGCCATTTAACACTTGCTTGCTTTTCTTCTTAAAAATCACATAACTGAATTTCTACAAAGTACTTATTTCACATTTTCCTAGAATTTGTTTTTCTAAGGTTTGCTTTACCAGTGCATGTCATATTAAAAACAGTTATTATTAACTTTACGTAATTATGTTTTTTTCATCGATGATACTGGCCACTTCACTATGGTTGCGAGCGAGTTTATTATTAAAAATCACATAACTGAATTTCTACAAAGTACTTATTTCACATTTTCCTAGAATTTGTTTTTCTAAGGTTTGCTTTACCAGTGCATGTCATATTAAAAACAGTTATTATTAACTTTACGTAGCTAATTATGTTTTTTTCTTCGATGATACTGGCCACTTCACTATGGTTGCGAGTGCTAAGCAATTTATTACGACTGGCCATTTACACAAATGTTGTGTTTTGAAAAAAGAAAATTTAAAAAAAGAACGCTCCTTCACATGTTAAATTGGCGCGTTATTTCACAATATTTTTTTAAATCTTTGTGTATTTGTGATTAAAGGGAACATTGTTTGTGACAGAGTAAACTGTTAGATTAATAAATTAAAACATGTGAATATAATAATCAACATAAACTTCAAAAGCTTTGAGTTGTGCTTTGAGTGTCACAAACCCGGCGTTTGTTCGCATTATCTTAAAAAATAAAATAATGCGAAGCCGATGAATCATTACAATAATATTGTAATAAATTATATATTTTTATACTGAATAAAAAGATATTGTATTGTTTCAGTCAATAAAAGTGGAATCCACATTCCTGGCTTTCATAATAGCATTTGCCTGCATAGCCCTTGTGATACCATCGTATCTTTTCATCCTTGGAATATTGTCACTTTTCTCCCGATCCCGATGCGACGATGAAACTGAAACTGGAGCTTTATTTCCTGATGCTGAAGATTCAGATTGCAACGACAGGGTGCTCGTGGTCATGACGCTGTTCGTAGTGCTGCTTTGTTGGTAAGTGTTAAATGCGATTTTGTCTTCTAAGTGAACTGAACGTTTCGTTGGTTACCTATGCGGCTGTTTTGGATTTTACGCTGTGAAGAAACTAAGTTAGAAACATTGAGTTATAATGTACTACATTACTTCAATGGTTAGAAAGGAATTTATTTGAAAGTCCTCTTAGAATGTTATTTGGTTAGTTAAAAAGTTTGTGTTTGTATGACAAATCTTTATCGAAACTTATCACTTCTTATAATCAACTGTTAAGCGGGGGTTCAACAAACCTTACATATTTTTATGAATGCGAATACAGTAATTAAAGTATCAAAATTTCAATTACATACACATAGTAATACTGGTAACTGGTAAAGTAGACATAAACTGGATCTATGCTACCTAACAAAGTACCTAACGCCCGTATTCACAAACCATGCTTGCTTAAGTGAAGCAGCAAATCGAACGCACAGCGTTGAAAAGAGCTCTGTGATTGGTTCGTGTCACTTTATGCGTCCACGCGCACTATGAGACCTCTTACTAATGTTTGTGAATAAGGGCGTAAATGTCCTAAATAAGTAAATAGATATTATAATTGTAATCACAATTATGTACTTTATGAGCAACACTCAAACAAACATCATAAAGTATCTTCCCAATAATAAAAGGTTTCCACTGCACAGACATCGTTGTAATTAATTTGAAAACAACACAACTTGGCATTACGAAGTTTCTCATGTGGCGGAGTTAGGAAAACTCTAATTTAAGTGCTGCGACACAACTTCATGTTAGTTCCTCTTGGGCACTTTGACACGGAGCCTTAATTAATTGTGATTTCTTAGTTTTCTCGTTATAAATATTATTTTTAGGCTGAGTATTTATTCTTGTTGTATAATTTAAATGTGATTAGTTTTTTCAAGCCAATATTGTGGTAGTTTAAACTGAATTAGCCAAAGGAGGAGAAGAGGAAAAAGTACGTAATACACAGTTATGAACGTAGAAAGGTAGTAAGGTACCTTTCTACATTTATGTCAACTGTGTACATATGGTCATAATGAACGTCCAAATCTATCATGCGATTTTTAGAAAACAATTATTTGCTAATCATAGTTCGAAGGAATCATAATGATTACTAGAAATAAATTATCTTAACTAACAGGACTTCTGGGAACTGAGAGAATTAATATCGCAAATAGATTTTCGTTTTCAGGACTCTTAAAGATAAGTTCTTAATACCTAAAGAACTTGAGTATTTAGTCGACACAAACAAATAGGAGTTCAAACAATTTATATTTTCTCAAGGTTTATATGTGTTTTCGAGCAAATTGATTCATAGACAAAGCGATGGAATCACAAAAGCATAACGGATTCAAAGATTCATCCTGTTAACCGTAAAAAATAAATTGTTTGCCCAGTGAGATTAGATCGTAAACAAACTCCAATGAAAGTAATTTTGTGAAAATATCTAGAAGGCAAAAGGTACAGCGATGTTTATCGTTCCAAGGGTGAATAATTTTGTAGGTGTACCTACTTATTAAGTAATTTTCTTTTACGCCGAAACTCTTGAAAGTTGATTGGGGTTTATTGGATCATCGTCGGAAGAAATTAAAAAATCATATACTGACTACATAGTACATCCCTCCCTCATTATATTTTTTTTTAATAGAAGTGTGGCTTCAGGGTACTGTAAAAATCATTTTTGTACCTTTCACAAAAATGTTGACCAGTAAAATCGATATCTACTATACAGGGTAAAATTAAAATAATTAAAATGAAGATATCAATTTTCTGACTTCACCATACCAATTATATGACCATGTTAACATGGGCTAGTGTCGCCTAACACCCTGTATACATAACAAAACAAGAGAAAATGTAACGCATTATGATTTTCCTACAAAATATGATGTAGTTAGTGAAACCTCCTTTACTTTATTTACGTAGGTAGGTAGGTAGGTAGGTACCTACATAGCTTTTAAGTCTGCCTGAAGCCCAATGAGAACTGTAACCAGTGCCGGATTAAGCCAGCGCGGGGCCTGTAGCAAATTTCTATCAAGGGGCCCTTGGTTTGCTTTAGGTTCTCAAGTTTAGGGTATTAAATGAAACAAAACTGTTATCTACAAATGAACTTTTCTTGATTTAATGTGGGCAAATTTAAAGATAACACTTTCAATATCAACTTCTTTAAGGAAATCATGCTCTACGAGTATATTCAACAAAGTAAGATGATTAAGACGTTCTTGTCCCATCGTGTTCCTTAATTAATTTTTAATACGTTTTAATGTTGAAAAAGAACGTTTGCCACTTCAGTTAGTGATCATGAGAGACATGTAAATGCGCAAGGCAATTTCTAAGTTTGGAAAGACGATTCTAAAGAATTATTTATTAAAAGTTTATAAAATTGCTGCTCCAGAGGCTCCTGTTTCTTGCTGTAAATAAGAGTAGCCACATCTGTTTTAAGATCAAGTAAGTCAAGAAATCTGTTTTCAGAAGCTCTGCAAACTGCACTAATTCGCCACCTAGGCTGTTCTCCAAATCAATTAACATACTGACAGTAGTTTCACAGTTCATTTATGAAAACCTTTTATATTATGTTCGCAAAAATATAGAGCGAAAAAGAGCGTTCCAAATTTCTAGGCCAGTAAAATTAGATTTTGAATCGGAAATAATTCCTACAAAAGATTTTATTGCTTTAATGGCTTCATTGGTTGCCCATTAAGACTCTACTAGGTTTTCGACTGCGACGGAGTTGTGCTCAAGTGGTGGGGGCCTCCAAAAGGGGCGTTTTTTCGGTTTTCCGGTTATACCGCGTAAAGGACTTACCGTATCGAAAAGTGGTCTTCAGGACGGTTAAAGGGCACTTAATTCTGCATTGAATAAGACCAAATTCATATGTTTCGGACAAACCGTTCTCGTGCTTATCTTCGACAAAGTAGAAAATGTACGTATAATTAATGTCACGTAAACGTAATTTTAAGTCAAATAAAAAGATAAATATTTGAAAACCTTTGATTGTATACGTTTTTTTATTATGTCCCGCTTTGACGGAAGAATCCCGCTATTTTCAGTCAAAAAGTACCAAAGTCCCGACTTGGCGAAAAAAAAAACTGGCAACGCTGGCTCCTATCTAAATTAATCTTTTTTTATTTCGGTCAGACAGGCGTTGGAGCGCGGGGCCCCCAAATTCGCGGGGCCCGTAGCATTTGCTACTCTTGCTACGTGGCTAATCCGGCACTGACTGTAACCTGAATTTTCACACACGTTCTTAGTAGGTACTTTGGTGAATTCACTCGAAGTGATAAATCTGCGAAATTGGCTAATATTGACTGGGATTAGGTACTCAGTGTGGAAAAACTTTTTTCCTATCCTAAACGATTTTTCTTCGCAGGTGAAATGTGATTTACTTATGATCTTAACCTGATTGAATTTATAGTGTTTATTAAGTGATATAACAATTGAAATGTAGAAAGAGTCATATTTTTTTATAATATCTAAGATAATTATGCAGCGCAGGACCGTTCATTGTGGAAAACCTTGGATGAGGCCTTTGTCCAGCAGTGGACGTGATTTGGCTGAAACGAACGAAGATATGCTACATTCTGTAATTGCTCTTATTATTTCCAGTGTCCTAATATCAGGCATGGCGGTCAGTAATGAACAAGCGCACTCAGCAGCTGTAGAGAGCAGCAATGTTTTACAGTGCGCGTGCGCCGACGTGTCATCTTGGCTCGTGGCGGCTGCGCGGGAGTTGCACCACAGTCTTGCACCACCCGTCGATTTATTGCTGCACGCATTTAGGGAGGACTTGAAAAGTAAGTTCTAACACAAAGGTATTAAGGTCTAGTCACAAAGAGCAGCAACGTGTAGCAATGCGCGTGCGCCGACGTATCATCTTGGCTCGTGGCGGCTGCTCGAGAGTTGCACCACAGTCTTGCACCTCCTGTAGACCTATTGCTGCACGCATTTAGGGAGGACCTGAAAAGTAAGTTCTAACACAAAGGTATTAAGGTCTAGTCACAAAGAGCAGCAACGTGTAGCAATGCGCGTGCGCCGACGTGTCATCTTGGCTCGTGGCGGCTGCGCGGGAGTTGCACCACAGTCTTGCACCACCCGTCGATTTATTGCTGCACGCATTTAGGGAGGACTTGAAAAGTGAGTCTTAACACTAAAATAGTAAGGTCTAGTGGAGAGTAGCATAGTATTACAGTGCGCGTGCGCCGACGTGACATCTTGGCTCGTGGCGGCAGCGCGAGAGCTGCACCATAGCTAGCCTCGCTGTTGCTGCATGCGTTTAGAAAGGACCGGAAAAGTAAATCTTAACACAAAGAAAATACGGTATAGCCACAAACCGAGATCAGAAAAGTGAGTCTTAACACAAATATAGTGAGGTCTAGTCCCTATGATAGTCAATAACGCAGCCTTGCAGAGCAGCAACGTGCTGCAGTGCGCGTGCGCCAACGTGTCATCCTGGCTTGTAGTACTGTTGCTGCACGCGTTTAGGGAGGTTTTGAAAAGTAAGTTGTAACACAAAGATAATAAGGTCTAGTCACATAATTCAACAAAAAAATCAAACTAATATTCTTCACAAGTAATATTACATCCAAAAAAATATAATAAACGCACGTGCGGAAGGTACTCGACCATCCCTTTATCCCATTCACCGAAACTAGCGGTGCAAAGAAAACCCCTTAAGCCGCATATCAAAGTGGTTTGATTTTCCACCTATGTTGAACTAACGAGCTCGTCCCCAGTACCCTGGTAAGTGGTATGACCTCTACTTAGGGCTAGCCAGTGTCCGTATTTCACAAAAAAAGTTGTACCTATTTTATTCAACATGCGCAATAAGGTTAGTGTCTTTGTATGTACATTTTCAAGAAAATACAATTCTACCAAAATATTTTCATGTAATATTCATAGTTAAAACGAAACTATAATGCGGATTGTGGAATGTTATCAGATCTTTTGTAGATACAAGCTTCTAACTCTGCAAGCCCAAACTAAACAAACTATACACGTTAGCCAAATTATGTTCTATAACTAAATATGTATGTTCACTAAGAATAGAGAACTAGTTGTAAAGTTAGAGCGCGATTCCATTCCAGATTCCAGGTGCGATGCCCAATTTAAAACTTTAATGGACGATTTCTGCTACAAATTACTTTTCAAAATTACGCTCTGTCAGCCCTACAAAGGCAGCATTGTCATAACACTCGTACCTCAAGCCCCAGTATCCGAGCAAACACATTGATGGAACACGGTATTGTGTTATCGCGCACATAAATAATGGTCAAGCTCTTCCTAGACCTTCCAAGAAGTTTCCTTTTTGGTATTATTGCAGACAATATCTTTGCTACAATTCAACAAGAATTTCTAAGAGTTTCGCTCTACTTCAAAAGACGAATTACCCATAATATCCAGATAGATAAGTATTGTAGTAATCCAAATAAGATGACTACGATTTCAGCAAAAGATCAGTAATGGTTGTTGTCATATTTTGATAAAAATAAACCAGAAGAATTTATTATTATTACTTTCTATATAGCACTGAAGTAATGTGAGAATTCTTAGTCTCACAAAGTTTTATTTGATAAAAGTCGTATTATATCTTCAATAGCGTATACTGTTAAGTTTGTACAAGTCCTATCATTTCCTGAATGATTTCATTCCATGAATCAAAACAGATGATTAAATAAGGTTTGCACTTCCTAAACTAAATAAACAACCGAAACATCTCAAAGTGTCTAGAGTTCGAGATGGAATAATAAATTTTCTAATTATCTGATTCATGATTCATTGTTGATTTATGATTCTGTTCGTTCGTTTGCAGACGCCGAGGTTCTGTTGGGCGAGCCTATACAGCAAGCGATATCGTCGGAGAGCGGCATCGAATTGGTTTTTGATTCTCTGGCTGATATTATATCAGGTAATTTTTGCAGCACAATAGCAAGTTCCTGTACAATTTTTCTATTACAATGTAAAAACTTTAAGATTCAATAACATAGCTTTGTATGCCTCAATTTATGAGACATGTAAAAATACAAAATCATGTAGGTGAGAGTAACTCTAAAACCGTTAACTTTTTGAACTCGAATAAGTGTATGATGAAATTATAAGAAATTACTTCAGAAATATCAAGAGATATTTAACGATTTCTTTGCTTCAAATATTGGGACTCAAAAACTCATTCAAAAACTTATATTTGTTTAAAATATAGGCACTCGAACTATTATAGAGCTAGTCGTTATTTAGCTGCTCTCCTTCAACCCTAAAATACTGCTACATCACTCGAATTACTAATTCCTATAAACCATTTATACCTATTGTTCTAGACCCCGCCATTATACGCCGCTAAGCGAATTCCAAAGTAATTAAAGTCTGAAATAACAACGCAAACATTAAACAAACGCTTTCACTAAGCTCATAATAACGATTTGAATGTCAAGAAATTGAAATCCTCTAGGCTGTTTCATAACAATTAAACTAGATCTTGCTATCGCGACCTCTGAAAGACTAGAACAATAACAAATTATCTTTGTTCTAAGATTAAAGTTAGAAAATCCAAGGAGAGAAGAAGATTTAGCACCAATCTCGGGTGTTATAAGCAGAATTTTATTTATTTTTAATTATTTTTCTGAGTGTGAAATGCTTGCCTAATAACTCCTAATTATAACGCTACACATTTTTTTTATAAAGTCCCGTTTGGCACCTTGTGGTAAGCTAATTTTTTTAGGATTCCGTAGCCAAATGGCACAAAACGAAATCCTTATAGATTCGTCATATTGTTTTTATTATGCTTGTGTAACGAGTGGGTTCACCACAAATACCACAATAGTACAGCGGCAGCGGGAATAATAAAAAATAAATAAACAGTTCGATAATAATTATGTAATTTATTGTTTATTTACATAATATGTAATTGTTTATTTCTGATCGAGTTATTCGAGTATTACATACAACTGTCATACTCGTATTAAAAAACTTAAGTATATTTTTCATTTAGGCATGTCGACATAAGGCTAAATTATAAGAAGGATCACTTACTTAATTTAAGTTCATAATATTCCTTGAATATTAACCATTATATTTGCCCTCGTAAAACAACTCCTATTATTAACTCTTGGAAATTAATTAGGTACGACAGAAGTGTTGATGAGGGCGTTTATTTTCAAAGAGTGCCTCAAATGTTGCGTGATATACTCAAACAGAACTCATGTTTGACTCAACAAGTTCTTAATATCTTATTTTCTTTGAAGCTGTATTACACGAGTAAGTTTGTTGAAACAACAAAAGTTGAAGCGCCTTCAAATTAAAAAATGTGTGGGAGGAAAAGTTAGACAATAATTTACGCCAATATCTGACACGATCGGCCTTTTTGTATAAGACATAATTATGTACTTATAACTAAAATTGCTAATTTGATAATTAAATCTATGCCAAAGAAATTTTTGAATCTGACTAAGCTCACTGAGTCTAAATAAATGTTCTTTTTGTACATTGATATTATTCTTGTACCCATTATAGTACAAGCTTTGCTTAGTTTGGGACTAGAAGCGTAGTGTAAAAATGTCCAAGGATTTATTTTTATTATTTATTTTAAATAAGACTCTCTCACTTGCATATTTTATATACGTATTATATTTCAATCAATTGCTTATCTTATATTTTAAAGGCTTTACTTTTTTAACTTCAGTTCACTCGGCTTCTCTTTAACCAAAATTAACTTCTTTTTAAAATAAAACAAGCAACACCCATCTTAAACTATTGTTTCCTTACGTCATTCCAGAAAGCGAGGATATCTCCTCCAAGATATCATCCTTGCGTGACGTCAGCATGAAGGCCGGTGCATTGACTNACTAGATCTGCTATCGCGACCTCTGAAGAAAGACTAGGACAATAACAAATTAGCTTTGTTCTAAGATTAAAGTTAGAAAATCCAAGGAGAGAAGAAGATTAAGCACCAATCTCGGGTCTTAACTATAAGCAGAATTGTATTTATTTTTAATAATTTTTTGAGTGTTTTTACAACCACTGTCGTACTCGTATTAAAAAACTTAAGTTTATTTCTCATTTAGGCATGTCGTGTTGATAAGTCTAAAATATAAGAAGGATTAAGTTCATAATATTCCTTGAATATTAACCATTATATTTGCTCTCGTGAAACAACTCCTATTATTAACTCTTGGAAATTAATTACGACAGAAGTGTTGATGAGGGCGTCAATTTTCAAAGAGTGCCTCAAATGTTGCGTGATATACTCAAACAGAACTCATGTTTGACTCAACAAGTTCTCTTTATCTTATTTCTTTGAAGCTGTATTACACGAGTAAGTTTGTTGAAACAACAAAAGTTGAAGCGCCTTCAAATTAAGAAATGTGTGGGAGGAAAAGTTAGACAATAATTCACGCCAATATCTGAATATCTGACACGATCGGCCTTTTTGTATAAGCAATATAACTAAATTTGCTAATTTGATAATTAAATCTATGCCAAAGAAATTCTTGAATCGGACTAAGCTCACTGACTCTAAAGGTTCAGCCAAACCAACGCGATCAACCGGCGTGCAGCGATGATATGACGATCAGACAAAGCATTGATCGCTATCGCTACACGCCGGCTGATCGCGTTGGTTTGGCTGAACCTTGATAAATGTTATTTTTTTACATCTATATATATAAAAGAAAGTCGTGTTAGTTACTCCACTTATAACTCAAGAACGGCTGAACCGAATTAGCTGAAAATTGTCAGGGAGGTAGTTTAGAGCCAGGAGAAGGACATAGGATACTTTTTATCCCGTTCGAAATTTAAAAAAAACTCTGCTTATTTATTGCCATTAAGGCGGAACAAAGTTCGCCGGGTCAGCTAGTTGATAATATTACTCTTAAAAGTGTTCTTATGACAAAATAAGACTCAATTATTATATCTCTTATTATATTTCAATCAATTGCTTAAATCTTACATTTTAACTTAATATTCATTTTTAGATTCTCTTCAACCAAAATTCAGCAACAAGCAACACAGTACCTTGTATATTATTTTTTCCTGACGTCATTCCAGAAAGCGAAGATATCTCCTCAAAAATATCATCGCTGCGTGACGTCAGCATGAAGGCCGGTGCCTTGACCGCTGCAGCATCAGACAGGATCAACGACTTGGCTCGCCAACTGGACAACCTGAAGAAGTTCTGCAATCTTAAAGACATGCCGCTATGTGACACCGTCAATACTAATTCTTTGGAAATGCAAATGAAGTTCGAACTAGTAAGTATCTATCAATTGAGAGGGATTAGGTATCTAATTGCTTTCGTTCGTTCGTTCGTTTCAGCCGAAAGACGTCCACTTCTGGACAAAGGCCTACCCCAAGGATTTCCACAAAGACCGGTCCCGCGACCTTCACCAGATCGTCGGTCCACCTAGTAGGAGGCCTGCCCACGATACGTCTTCCGGCTCGTGGTCGCCACTCAAGAACTTTCCTGCTCCAGCGGCCATCAGCTCTACAAGCTATGTAATTGCTTTACTCACGATGATTAGCTTGGTTGGTCAGCTTTGTCAAAGGTTCTTTTAAAGCTGTACCTACTTGAATGCTTGCCTAGTATTAACGCCTAAAGGAATTTGATCTCGCCAAAATCTTTCAGGCGTTTAAAACTACCTAAGTTTGGTACTTACCCTCAAAAGTAGGTAAGTATAATTTGTACAAGCTGCTAGATACGAGTTTCACATTGGACTAGTTTTCATAAAAAAATCTCACTAATTTCCCATCAAATCCTTCAAAGCTTCCAGTAAAATTAAAGCCCACAGCTCACCATACCTATCTTTATGCCCGTTTTCACCATCAATCCCTAATTTTAAGTGACCCCTCCCAAGTAACATTTTACTCCATTTAAGAGTTCACATTTAGTTCCAATGTGTACTTAAAGCATTAGTACAGTTCACTCGTGATGTATAAGCTGTATTATTGCAATTAATTACACCTATACCTGTCTAAGGGACTTATAGGAGTGTAGACTAGTGTAGAGATATACTTTTATACGATTGTTGGTGTTATAATACTCTAACAACTATCCTTTAGTCAGCCGTCTGACTAAGAGCATTATAGGAGGGTAGAGATACGGCAACCGCTGTTTAACGGCCTACTTGTACGATGTTATAGAGCTAGCATTTTAATAGAACACACGTGGTCATTTATAAAGCCAAAGGCTGTTATGTTTACTTGTTTTAGACTGTTATACAGCTAGTAGCTGTAGTAGGACTTGTTTGTGTTAATAAAATAACCTTTTTTTACTATCTGTACAAAAGTGTTTCAATGGTTCGCATGTGCACTGTAGGCTGTTAAAAGGACTATATGTGTTGTCCATTAACATCAATAGCAGTTTATTTGTCCACAAGGACTACTCTTATTTGCTTTAAGCTGAAAATGAATGTGAATTTGATATTCTATTACACTTTTCCCCAAGCCTGTTTTTAGTTGTATTTATGGTGGTTCTGTACATGATGCAGAGGAAAATATTATGCCTGAACCTGAAAGTTCCCTTCAAAATATACAGATATCAGAGTGTGATGATTGCAGTTCTAGGGATAGTGAATACAATTTTGATTTAGACAATTATTTAACCTTTAGCAAAAAAATAAGAACAAAGGCTATTGAAAATCGTATTCCTCATTCCGCTTTGAATAAATTGTCAGGCATAATAAACGAATTTAAACCGGGAACACTACCGTCTGATGCTTTAGGTATTCATACTTGACTATTAGTACCTGGGCTAGGCGATTTAACGGACATTAATAATTTTTATTGCGGATCTCTAAAATTTCAGTATTTGAAAGAATTAAAGATACACAATTGACCTGAACTAGGTACATCTTAATACACATTACATTAGCGCTGTAGTGGTACAAATGTGGAACTTAATATAGATAACAGCATTCTAACAGAACACATGTGAACCTAATATACGCTCACCGCATTAAATTGGAGTTAAAACAATTCACATAGCCGTATTTCATTTCCACCATTTTGTTCTACATAACCTAAAATATTTACCAAATAAATCTCCAAAATTAATGCAGATTTATCACAAAATTCGCAGATAGAGCGATTGAGTTTTGGTTTCATGTTATAATTAATTACCGTAGTATAATTATAATGCCAATACAATATCAAAAACTGAAAATTGTAGATTTCCTCTCAGCCAGTTTTAAATATTTTAAAATGAATATCGCGTTTTTACAGAGGCGCGTAAATATTTTAGCTGTAAATATGTATACATTTCACGATAAAGTTGCATTCCCAATGGCATTAACATTATTAAGTATTTAAAACCCGTGTTATTATTTGCATAAATGATTATATTATCCGCCCGAGTTGTTTCCTCTTGGCACTCACGTACAAATACCAAACTAATATTAAAATGTGGAAATAATTTAGGACACACGTGAACTTTATGTAGCATTGGAGTACTTTTGTCGGACTTTATAACTTTGAAAGCTGTGCATTTAGCCACTTGTTACTCTTTATTGTCCTCACGTACGTTGTATGGTTCACACTGCGTCCCATATAGTGCCGTAAGTCAGCCTTAAGTACGATGTTACTACTTAAACTGCTATTATAATGCTATTATACTGCTAATGTACAGCCATAGTGAACTTAAAGCTGTCTAATTTGTGCCCAAACTGGTTCTATAAAAGCATTATAGCAAGCTATACAGCTCGTATACAGCTGACATACACAGCTTGTGGAGTACATGTGAACGACTATTGAACTCTTAAATGGAGTAAAATGTTACTTGGGCTATTAAACAAAATTCCTGTTATTTGTTACCATAGGGGTCACTTAAAATTTAGGGATTGATGGTGATGATAGTGAAAACGGGCATTAATCTCTCATTAATTTCCACACAGATACTTCGCGAGAAGCAATTACTGGATCTACGGACACTAGGGGTCCATAATCTGACCCAGGCCATATCCACCGCTCGCCAGGAGTTCAAAACTTTGCCCGCCGCTATTGCAACTCAGACCGTCCAGGCTAGGAAAGGTAAGCTTGTTTAAACTACGTAATAAGTAAATGATCATATTAATATCAAAGGTTAATCTTCTCTGGAAAAGGATAGATTTTTCTTGAAAATGGGTTAGGGGCCTTAAGTTTAAATAGTTTCCAAACTTCAAAGACGTATCTTTGAAAATCGTAATAAAATCGTAATTTTACACAATATTTAGTATTATTTTAAGTTTCATGGCAAACAGAAAGCTGAGTGTGAGTTTACATCAAACAATGAAATTAAATGTATGACAGATTGTACAGCGCGGAAACATTAAAAAGAACTAAAATTTTAATATTTTTTTTATGTAAACTCACAGTAGGCCCTTAGGTCGAAAAGCTATTTTACTCATTTAAGATGCCTTGGACAAAGTCTTCGGAATTTTCACTAGATATCGTAATTAATTACTCTTTGAAATGAGATAATATTAAATTATTTGCTTTTAACATGGTATTACCACAAAATATAAGTATTACGCAGATATTTTTACTGAGTCACTAGTCAAGTATTTTATTCTTGATCTGTATTTTGTAGGTACTGTTGTACTGCTGAATTAAATCAGTAACAAGCGTTTTTAGATGTATATTTGGCTTTATAAGTTAAATAAATTCCAGTATCTTATACAAAATTGAAACCAATTTTTCCATGATTCTAATGTGAACTTCAAATCTCTACGTATTCTTGAGTACATTTCAGATATCCTCAATGACATAGAAACTCGACGTCAATCAGTCCACGAATCTTCAAACGTTTTGAACGATATCGTACGCCATCTCACAGCAGGTTTGCACTCTGTGTCCAGACGCATAGAGTCGGGTTTGGAACGAGTGCAGAAATACGATTTTTGGAGATGGGCACTTATGTTGGGTAAGTCAAATAATGATACTCTTTTATTGACAGTTACCTATGTATGTTAAACCTACCAGTTATGTTATAGCAGAGTTTTATCAGAGAGATTCGTTGTCTTGAGGTACAGTAGGGAAGGCTCAAAAATATAAAAAGATTAACCTAAACCTTGCTTACCTGACTTGTTCCCTAAAAAAGAAAAGAATAAAGTTTCAATTCATGTATAAATTAATGCAAACATAATTATTAAAAAAAAGTGTTTAACTTTTTTACTTGCGAATATTGAACAACGCAAAAAAGAAAATTAAGTGACAGTTGGTCTCTATTTTCAAATCTGTGACTTCACTATCAATTTTTTAAACTTGGAACGCACACAAATGACGTCTCCATTTTCAAATCCCTGACTGTTAGAATTTTTTTAAAATTAGAACGAACAATTTTTTTTCAGCTTGTGTGGTAATATTTGCTTTCATCATGCTCCTCGTAATATTCGCCATGATGTGTGGCTGCGGCCACGCCAAAGACCACGGCAAGCGTACTCTACAAGTGTGAGTATTTACTACTAATATAAATATGAAAGTTTGTAAGAATGTTTGTTACTCTATCAAGCAAAAATTAGTAGGAAATTTGATTAAACTTTACAGTGATATTATATTTTGTACATCAGATAACTAACACCCGGTTTCTTAACCCAACCTTATTGTGAAAAATGTACCTACTACTTAAGTAGAAAATGAGTATGCTTAAGCTAAAATCTCAATTCAGAATTATAAGATAATAATATGGATTATTAATACTATCTGTGACAAACTGAATTTCACGCGGGTGAAGCTGCAGGCTAAAACTAGTGTTACACTATACGCATAGCTTTTAGTACACTATGCACCTTTCTATATCAAATGTTGTAACCTTCAAACATCCTAAATTAAGTTACCTAAGCTCTTTGGGGTTGTTTCTCACTCCGCTAAGTTTGACAACAAGGTTTTTCTGCTTTCTACCCACGTCCCACTCAGAGATAACCTACAGGGACTCCAGCTGTAGGTGTTCGACAAACAAGATTTTATTTTTACAGGGTGTCCCAGAATGGGTGAATCAAACTGATAGGGGAGGTAGCTCTACTAATGTACTATCCCAAAAAAATATGAAAAAAAATGTTTGAATTCGGTTTTTTTTTTAAATAAAGTGCTCTAAACTCAAAATCTAGTCATTATTTTCTAAAGTTTGTTTACAGATAAATGAAGCGATCATGTACAATTAATATTAGTAAGAAAAAAGTACAAATAAACTCCAAACGCAGCAATTATAGCCAGATACTTAGGGAAAGCTGATTTATTTTCACTCTTTCAAAGAATTTTTTTTTGTATCCTTATGCGCTTTATTTTTTTTTCATATTTTTTTGGGACTGTACATTAATAGAGCTACCTCCCCTATCTGTTTGATTCACCCATTCTGGGATACCCTGTATATTAATACAATTGAAATCCTTCGGGAAAAGTCTATTTTTCAATACCTGTATTGTAGTGTAGATACTACATTGCTTATTAAAAACTTGTAGCGTTAAAAGTCGCATCTTGTGAGTAAGAGCAGTCGCCCGGCAAGCAAAGGTCGTGGGTTTGATTCCCACCTTAGACAATCCCAATTTTTCAAGTTTATTATTTCTAAATAGATACATGAATGCGTTGGTCAAGCCAAGCTATATATATATGGACAAGCCCGTAGCAGTGGCCGTTTAAGTATTTAGTACTACTTAAAGGGGATTTTTTAAGATTATTAGTAGGTTCTATCAATGCCGTGGGAAAAACTATAATTAGTAGAAACAACCATTCCGTACCTATCATAAAAAGGTAAATAAATCTAATTTCGAATTTTCTAGATTTAAAATAGATCCAGAAGGTCAAATTCCACGTTTTATTCCAGGTCTGCAGTCTGGCTGTGTTTCTCATCCCTTATTTTATGGGGCATGATATCAGCTATTTTCCTTATCACAGGACACGCAGAGGTGAGTGCTATTACGTTCACAAACAACGAACGGTTTTACTGTGTTGGCATTTTGCTTATGTTTTCCTTTTAGGCGTTCAACCTTTTGTTTAATTTGTGCTATACATAACGTATTGTAAATACGTTTGGATACGAAAAGGAAATTAAGATTGGTTTATGTCTTAAAACGGCTTAATTCAGATCATTTTCCTACTAATAGCCTACTAATAAGAATAGTTCTGTGATAATCATTTTACCAACTATTATTGCATTGGAGTGAAATATAAAATTGAAGCTAAGACTGTACATCACATATTATTATCATTTATGGTGGTATGTATCAACCATTCGGAATAGACCACACGCATGCGATCAATCTTAAAGTGACCATAATTATCCTCAAGTGTATAGATTTTCGCCATAGCTATTTTCTCCAATCTATCTTAGCTTCCTTAGACACTCTTAAACTGTAGCTCGTTTATTAAATCATTATTATTTAATCAGGTTTACGTGTGCCACCCTCTGTGGGACAAGCCCCAATACGAGACATTGACTGCCCTCCTGGACAGGCCCTCTCCTTTGCTCCACAAGGACGAGGGAATCTTTGATGCACTCTTCAGGGACCTTGACAACGTCACCATTGATGTCTCTGTTAAGGATTTTTTGAGGTATTTTTGGACATTTATTTTTTTACCTTTTAATGACGGGCCGTAATGCCTAAAGAAGCTACGAATCACGATACAAGGAATGTGTACATTACATAGAGAGATATTGTTAAGTTTACGACCTATCCTATAAGAAGCTTTTGATATAAATAAAGTAAGGAATAATAATTATAATATCAGTAAGGTCTTTAGCAGTGCAAGTGACATAGATTTTTCTAAAATATTCCTAGCAACATTAACCACACACAAAACACTTTGAGGCCACTCCTGATAATGGTCACTACTGATATCTGTGACTTCGGAAATGAATTTTCTGGGATAAACTGTTATCTAAGTACCAAGAAAATTAACTAACTTCCTAGATGAAGCCATGATAAAAATTAAATGTCAAAAAATATAGTACATTCAACAAATGCTATTGACGCCTGAAATTAAAAAAAATAGTTTACCTGTATTCCTTCACATTATCTGTAGTTTGTGCAAATCTATGTTACTAAAAAGTACATAATTAATAAATTTTTCAGGGATTGTGAAAAAGACCGTCCAGCCTACATAGTATTCCAATTAGACAAAGTCTTAGATGTTAACAAAGAGACCTCCTATTTTGAATGGGAGGAGCTGCAAGCAGACTTGGGAAGACTGGCTTCTTCCATTGATGTCGGTCTTCTGAAAACAATATCGTTGAACTTTAATAGACTATTGACTCGGATGCTTGTGGTCTCGGATGTTAATTTAGCAAAGTATAGGTGAGTGTAATAAATAATAACTATTAGCAATCTTACTACGAGTACCTAATTCCTTATATGTGATATCCTCCGGTTTCTGCATTGAGAAACCGAAGGTATTCCTTAAATGTGTTAATGTTTCTAATTGTTGAGCATTCTCAAGCCTAAAATCTCAAATCAATACCCGAGGATAAGTTCTCTATATCCGTTTGCATATTTAATCACTATAACGATGTCTCAAAAATATTACCAGCGAATTGATACTGGCACGTCTTGTTCAGAGAAGCTATTTTGAATTAGGTTGGTTATTTATAGCCTTACACTTTAACCTTTTGAAATTGAACAAACGTGATAATCTCTTCCAAGGATGGATTACAACGGACCGATAGTCGGAAGGGATTTGCCGTCTTTAGTGGACCAACTTCAAAACGTGGCCGCCCAGGTTTCCGACCTGACGACCGCCGGCCGCCTGGAGACGATGGGTAATATCCGATTATACTAATGCTCTACAGACAACGTAGTCCAATAGACTGCATGACAAATGTTATGGCGCAAGTACACCATGCGGGAAATTGACCGAGATGAAGCGCGAGCCCGCTCAACGATGTATTTTTAGCGCATAAGGCGTCCGATCAGTGGCGAACCCAACTAGAGGGTTGCCCACCGCGGTGTTGGACCAAAGTCCAGCCTACGGCGGGCTCACTCTAGTGGGCCCGATCGAGGGGACTACGGACGCGGCCTGAGGGCGCCACGGTAGGCTCGGACCTCGGCTCGGGCCGTGTCCGGGGGACGCATTAGGGAAAGCCCACACTCGGCCTCGTCGGCACGCACACCGACGATCGCCAAACGGCTAGAGTACCTTCTGTACTCGCCACTCTGCTATCATGCTCATGAAGCTGGAAAATCTCTTCAAGCTACCAGCGCGCGTCCCTTAAAAAAAATATGTATTTTTTTTAAAGATCATTAGTAATTTGTTTACACAAATGAAATAAGTAAGCTAAATTATGCTTGTGTCACGCACGAGTGAGTTCACCACAATAGTCGAGCGGCGGCGGGGATCGAACCCGCGTTCCCCGGATCACGAGTCGGCCAGCCCGACCCCTTCACCGTTCGGCTATCGTGACTTCAAGTATGGGCGATACATGACGAAAATAACCGAAGTGCATGTTTGCACTATACGTCTCGATCAATTTCCCGCATAGTATACTTGCGCTATTAGTTGTAGACTGTCTTCCGATGTAGATTTCTTGAAGAGGAATCTTCAGTTGCTTATGCATGGTAATTTTAGAACATGAGGCATTCCCAACCCATCTGGCCATGGTGAGGAGTGTAAGCCGGATCCACCATTTGCTTCTAATAAATTAGAGAGGGGAAATTGGGGACCGATGGGGCAGCAAGGTTCTGGAATGGAGGCCGCGTACCGGAAGGCGCAGCGTGGGACGTCCACCGAGACAATCCACAAGGTGGACCGACGACATCGTAAAGGTAGCAGGGAAACGCTGGACGCAGGCCGCTACCAATCGATCAACGTGGAAAGCATTAGGGGAGGCCTATGTTCAGCAGTGGACGTCCTATGGCTGAAATCATGATAATGATGATGAAATTAGAGACAGTCTTATAGCGACAAAACCGGCTATGCTGCATAATACATAGTAATAAATGAATGTAAAGAAATAGATCTCGGTAGGTATAATCAAGAAAACTTAATGTAGAGCCACCCACATTTAAGAATTTATTTTTATACCCTGTCTGCAGCTGCACCATTTTTAGCAAAGTCTAGTTTCTATACTTAGTAAGTTGTCTGCATAGTATTCTCATAACTCGACCTTTAAATTTCAAAGAGGATCACGTGTGCTCTTTGAAGTTCAGACTTGCTAAGTAAGGATTTGTAACTATTGATTTGCGTTCATGTTTTCTAAGATTGAATAAAGTCAATAATATTGTAATTTTTACATCTTTTTAGATAGTTTGTTTTATATCTTCACTAGCTTTCCGCCCGCGGCTTCGCCCGCGTGGATTTTTGTCTGTCACAGAAAAACTTTATCGCGCGCGTCCCTGTTTCAAAACCGGGATAAAAACTATCCTATGTTCTTTCCCGGGACTCAAACTATCTCTATGCCAAATTTCATCAAAANTTTCCCGGGACTCAAACTATCTCTATGCCAAATTTCATCAAAATCGGTTGCGAGGTTTAAGCGGGAAAGCGTAACAGACAGACAGACAGACAGACAGACAGACAGACAGACAGACAGACAGACAGAGTTACTTTCGCATTTATAATATTAGTTGGGATAGTTGGGATTATTCTTCATCTTTGACGTCTACAAATCTACTCATAGTATAGAGATAGTCAATGACTGACTCTAGATAATTTATATCCAAAGGTTTCTAAATAGTAACTAGGTCATTTATACCATAGGTTGCTACTACCTCTATCAAAACAGTGATATTAATGTAAACTAAGTTATTAATTTATTCTTAGATTCGCCAAAAGATGTAAAGATGAACCTTATGCCAATAAACAAATATTTTTGTTTGTTTGTTCGTTTCAGCCAAATGACGTCCATTACTGGACAAAGGCCTCCCAAGGATTGACATAGTATTTTGTTGTTAATTTTAATCTTCACCAGATCGTCGGTTCACCTAGTGCGGGCCTGCCCATACTATGATCATTTCTTTTGTTTTCCTAATCTAGCCACTCGCACCAGGAGAGTGTACATGACGAGCATAAAGCCGTTAGAACAAGTGAGAGCAGACGTTGTGTACAAACTCACAGAGTTGGAACTACAGCTGATGCCGTTTAGAAGAAAACTGAACATTTCTCTAAGCCACATATACACAGCTCAGTATTATATTGACAACCAAGGAGACGTGATAGCGCAGAAGGTAAGAATTTGATCTTAATTTGGTATTTTATGCTATAGTTATTCGATGCATGGTCGTCATAGGTACACTGACTCCTTCATTCCTTTATCCACATTCCACCAACAATATAGAAAATACAATGTTTGGTATTTTAAAGAAAGAATATGATTAAATGTGGAAACAATGGCCCCAATTTAGTGCTCCAGACTGCACCACTAATTGCTCATTAGATGTTACCGAAACACAAAATTTCACGTGTTACCGATTACTCCTCATTATATTTCAAGAGGATTAACATCATCACCTCAACATGATCTTAGTAAGGATCATAGTGAAACGAAAAAACAATTTTGACATTTAACTTTTCTGACCGAATAATAACAGTTACATTGATGATTTTTAAACCAAATTATGTTAGTTGCCAGGAGTACTATAAGATTTTAACTTACGCGTTCCATTTCAACAAAAATAGAGGAAAAACGATTCTCAACACGACATTTTATAAACTGTGGTCTCAAGCAGTCTGCTGTAGCAAAACAATCGGAACTGTGAATTTTTTTCCCGATTTTAGCCAAGATTCCTACTTTAAAACCATAAAGTTACACTTAAGATTTTTAATTAATACCTAATCAATAGTTTTTCTTACCAGAAAGTATCAATGTACGTGTCCCGGCTGATATCGCATGCAGCGGCCTGGAGGACCCACGTGCTTATGTCGGTGGGCAAGCACGCTGCGAGGTGTAAACCCTTGTTCGCCGTCTACTCTGCCTTGCGGACTTTGTTGTGCTCTAAGTACATCTCTTCTTTGGTAAGAACCTTTAGTTACCCATAACAATACTTATGTCAGAAAAGGTTACTCTAATAGAGTCAGCTGATCATCTACATAAATTGACTGATGGTAGTGGTAAATAATGCCGTATACTCTGCCTTGCGGACTTTATTTTGCTCTAAGTACATCTCTTCTTTGGTAAGTAGCTTGGGTGACATGCTTATTAATTTGAAAATATTATTCAAAAAGGTAGTAGGAAGGCGCTGGATGCAGGCCGCTACCAACCGGTCATTATGGAAAACATTGGGGGAGGTTCAGCAGACGTCCTGTGGCTGAAACTATGGTGATGATATCAGAAAAGGTCATATGCTCATGAGAAGCGGTTATCATCGACGCATCCATCATCAACAGCCCTTTACAGCCTATGGACTGTATTGGACTATGAGCCTCCTCCACTTTAGTGAAGGGTTTTGCCATAATTTCCACGCTTGGCAGTCGGATTAGAGATCGCAGTTTAAAAGATTAATGTTTATCAGACATCGCTGCTGCCCGTTTTCTGTTTAATGTGTAGTCCATAAGTCGCCTCTTACGACACCCAAGGGAAGAGTAGGGGTTGGTGACAAATGTATTCTACTCTGTCGTCACCACACGGCGTATCCCGATACTAAGCATTGATGATTCAACATTATATTATATGATCCCTCAGCGTGATCCCATTCGTAATATTCCAGAACACGAAGTACTCGAATCAGGCCAGACAAGCGATAATAATTACCTCAAAGTCATTCTCGAATGCAAACAACTGCAATTTGAATCAATAACCAACCAACTTTAATATTATTCTCTGAAAAACATTTGCGAATGCAATTTTTCATTCAAACTAACGCCCTTATCGCGAGCATGCACTCGGCCCTCGACACAAAAGGGACTGCACGATTAGGTGTCAATGACCTACGCTAACTTCATGAGATTTTTATGCATTTCGATTCAGTTAACGCAAATAGAATTCCCTATTATCTCCCGAACCAAAAAGCCATTCAGTGTTTGCCGGGAATCACTTTTGGGAGCACTCTTCCCAATTTATTTACCCCAAAATTCAATAAAGCAAAGACTTTTCGACTTCATTTGGTTTTCTTTATTTAGTTAATTTTTAATGGAACTAGAAATTCTGTTAAAATACTTTTAATATTAAATATTAGTATGGATTTAACGTTTTACATTTTCAAACCACCTGGGTCAGGGTTTTCTTTTTCTCAATCTTTGCTAAATATTTTATGTACCCTCTTTGGGAGATTACCCATCTAAAAATGATTGCTTTTATCTTATAAACATAAAGATCAAATCAGGGTCCTTAAATAATATTTTTATGAAACGCTTCGAACGTGTAATGACTGTGACATTTAGAAAATAATATAAAAACCGTATCGTGGTCCTTTTTGAGTTTTTCACCTACGCAAATGCTGAAAATATCAATCGCATAATGTTTGTTTACGATATGATGCAGATCACAAAATGTCAAAAGCGTTAATTCTAGAATTCATTCGTTCAGTGAATTTAACGTATAGGACGTTAAATTGTTTGTTTACTCTCCAAAACTATAGGAAATATCACGTGTTTATGAACTAAATATATCTATTTTTTTTTAAAGTCATAGATGGTCTTAACTACTGATAAGATGGTAGTGGTAGTAAATCAAGCATCCAAAACCCATATCCAAAATTTAATCACATCTAGTATGACAAGGGTTCAATGTTTGGGTCGTTTATGCATAAGTTAACTTTGAAGAGGATAAAGACTTAAATGTTATTACCAAATAGATTCAAATTCCACAGCATGGCTGGTGGTTCTGTGGAGTCCTCCTCGGGCTCTTATGGTGTTCTGCACTCACGCCATTGTGCGTCAGGCTATGGCGCACCTATGGGTGGAAGATCCGAGCTCACGAGACTATGACGCTCACCAATCTTGGATCAGGGTATGTTATGTATGTCTGAAATAAAACTAATGCAAAAACATTATGTATTTTATATGAGAAAGTGATCGCTACATTATGTGGCGTAGCATGCTTATCAATCTCTTTAAGCATTTACTACCTGCACTCGAACTATTTAAAGTGTCTAACGCTTGGCTAGTAAATAAACATACTTAGGCTGGGTTGCACCATCTTATTTTAACTAAAAATCTGTCAAACTCCATATAAAAAACACCGGTTATCGTTATAGTTACGGTCAAAGTTAGGTGGTGCAACTCAGCCTTAATGAATAATGGCCATAGTCACAGAGCATGAAATCGTCGCGCGCCGCCCGCGATTCCATGCTCTGTGGTCATAGTAGTGACAGACTGATCGGGACCTATGTAATAACTTGACTGACAGATTTTAGTTGCAAACAGCTTACCGATGTGGCTTTGGATGCTTAAGCTATTTTACTTGTTTTACTTACTCTATTTAATACTATAAGTAGTCATGCTTAGTCAAAAACATGCATTTATCAAGCGTTATAAAGACACAATAATGTTGTTAATAGAGTATTCCATCAACAGACATCAAGAAAGTACCCCAACCACGGCGATGTGCGACGGCAGTAATTGGAATACCCCAGGGTTGGTAACTTCTGAATGTTCATAATGTAATTATTAGTCAGGGGCTCACAACATTTATTGTCTGTATCAGACGGTAGGATAAAATGTACTCGTATTTAATACATAGATCAGTGTATGATAAAGCGAATGATAAAACGTTTTTATTACATTTTCTGAAAATTCATAACAATGTCAAACATCTCAAATTTACAGTATGAATAATTTACAGTATACTTCTTGCAACTCACGAAGGCGAGTGAGCTTTACTTGTGTGTGTACGTGTACCTATATGCACATAACGATAGTGTATTGTCTGTCAAAACTTTTGAAAAACAATCAGTAGCGAGCCACCACACATGTAAAGCTCACTCGCCTTATCTGTATAAACCTGTATTCTAAACTGATACAAAATGTTTAGAGCCTCTGTCCGTATATTTAGACAAAATGAGTACGCTTAGGTTAGTACTATTTAAACGAATTAGTGGAACCTCGCCTGAGGTGTTCGGGAAAGTACTTTGGCCCTCCAGTGGGACGTTAATCGACTAAGAGTGGGATGATTGTTCCCAGCAGTATTGACTAATTGATACAATTGCACTGCCATTGTTCGTAGGTTAAACTTAAGCAGAGGTTAACTAAATGAATGCACGTACATTTACGGGTCCGTGGCCGAGTCCCCCAGTTTTCGACGCACCCGTGGTCGACGCCCCCGGTCAGTTAAATTCGATTTGAAGCAATTTTTAATCAAATGTACAGTCAGGCACAAAAATGTTTATAAACGAATAAATATTTATTAGGCCAGTAGAATTAAACACAAAAATGAATCTAATGAAATTAAAATAATTCCTACAAAAGTTTTTGGTTTCTTACTACTGCTGGTTTTGGGTTAAAATTTTGCTCCCAGATTGCATAAATAGCGTCAAACATGCATAGTTTAGTATAATAATTAGCTTGTGAAACTTTTTTCGTTGACTGTACTTAGTGCAAAAGCCGAAAAAAATATGATATTAAATTTATTTAAATCGGGGGCGTCCACCACGGGTGCGTCAAATACTGGGGGACTCGGCCACGGACCCACATTTACAATTACAGCTTGCTTATAGAAAGAAATAAAATTCAGGAAATCTAACTTGACCTTCATTGGTTGGGTTTTTATTAGATACTGGCTACATAGGAGTTACAGTGATGGGTACGAGAGGTGTGAAGATAAATATACGCACATACCTATTATTTGCTACTATGCTATTTGTGTTACCTCTAACCTATTGAGTACCTATGTTCGCTTTAAAAAAATGTTTACATTTTCAGACCACCGCCAGCACCCAGAAGTGACAGTTGGTGAAACAGAATGCAACATTCTAACTACTAATGTTACCAGCACAAAATATCCTATTCGGGATATTAAGATCTTTATCAACATTATTCTTGATTGAAACATATTCTTATCAGAATCTATGAATAAATGTACTAGAGGTTTAAAATTAACAATGTATGTAAATATTATTTGTTGTTATATTCATTATAAACTTTTCGATTGATTAATTAACTCCAAAGTTAGGCTGAACTATTAATAGCAAATCACAGTAAAATTCCGGTTAACTGTTCTTTCTATTTAGCGTCTAGCTTTAACTCAGGGTAAGTGTTAAACAAGTATAAATATTAACTTTACTTAGTCGGTATATAAATAAATATAGGTAATATTGTTTTGGTTTACAAGATAATTATATGATTAGATAAGATATTAGTAACCAAAATAAATTATAGATGTCAAACAAATAAACCCTTCTTTGTTTTTATTGTACTTGCACTGAGTTCAAAGTAGTTAATACAATTGCATTGTGTCACAATTACTTCCAGGTTAGTTTTTGCAACAAACATAATTTAATATTACATTGAAAATAATACCTACACTGCACTAAGGATCAAATAATTCAGCTCTCGATTACTTTGCGTTAACTGCTTAATCACTTATGTGACCTACAAACCGCTGATTTAAATAGTCCTGCATGGTTACAGCTCTCATATAATGAATATTAATTGGTTTGTATACAATGAATGTAAAGTCCAGTTTTCAGTTATGACATTAGACCTAAACATTAAGACTGAGTTGCACCACCAAACTTTGACCGTAACTATAACGATAACCGGTGCTTTTTGTATGGAGTTTGACAGATTTTTGACATTTTGTCAAAGTTAAAGTAAGATGGTGCAATTCAGGTTTATCGGACAGATTCGTTTTTATTTTCAAAGAATCACAAAATGATTTGTTTGATTCAATTAAGTGCCTTTTGTGTAATAATATGTGTTGTACGTGACATAAATTCAGGCTAAAATTTAACTAAGGATTGGTTTTGTGAGAAAATATTCAATTTATCACCTTATAAAAGCCTTCTAAGTCCTAAAACAAAATTCACTTTACAGATTTTCTTAAAAGCTAGCTCACGTTCAACGCCATTAGCAGTTCTGCGTATTTTTCCATTTAACTGAAATCCTGGCTTGTTTTTAAAAAGGCATCAAGCGAATTAACAGAACGACATCAGGAACCGGAAGGTGTAAAAACGTAATGGCACCGGTGGCTGACATTTAGCACTGGCATTGAGCCAATATGGCCGAAAGTAGAGCCTTGGGGACTTAAAGAAAGAAATAATAACGCTTATGATATCTAGATGGCAGAATATTATTACAGTCTTCAGGGTAATAATAATAATCTAGCTTAGACCTTGGATTATTTCAGTAGAGCTGCCTCGTTTTTATATTGGTATCGATAATAAAGTCTGAGATAATGTAGAGACAATTGAACAGGACAAGCGGAATTGTATGTAGTTATAAGTGATTTTGTATAAAAAATGTATAATTATCATGTGCTGTCGATTATTATATGTAACTTCTTCTTGCCCATACCTAAACATCTATGCTTAGATTTTAACACCTAAACCTATTATACCTAAACCTTTTGAACTTACATCAAAACTTACAAATAAAAATTTAAATTATCTTTGTCGGTAAGAAATAGTACCTACTGTCAAATTTTTTGTGGTTGTTGTAAGATCATCATCATCATAATTTCAGCCACGGGACGTCCACAGCTGAACATGGGCCTCCCCCAATGAATTTTAGATTGGCCGGCCGGTTGGTAGTGGCATAGTACCTATTATAATATAGGTACTGTGGTAGGGGTTTCCTTTTCCTTTCCTCTTTACCTTCTTTTTTCAGGGTAAGGAAAATTATAATTTGCGTAACAAAATAACACTAGTCAGGGTAAAACTACCTACTGAAACTATTAATGTAAGTAACATAAGCGTAATAGACTGGATAATTAATTTCTACAAAACATTGGCAGCAGCACGCGTCCATTAGAAAGGTTTTGGCATTGCAATTTGGGATCGTAAATGCTTGATAGAGCAATTATGTTTTATAAAACATAGTTCGCGAATCGGCAATGCTCCAGTTTCACACACCCTGTCCTATCAACAAAACTCGTAACATAAACATTGGGGTATGCTAATAGGGCTGGCAAAAAATAATGAATGGACAATTTGACACCATTCTCCAATAATTCGAAATCACAACTTTTCTAAAAAGACTTCATTCTGGGTTTAAAAAAATTAATTAATTTTAAATTACCTGTAAATAACGATTTTTGGTCGCATTATAATTGAAAAAAGTAGTTTATTTGAGCTGACAAAATAGTGACGTCACTTGCTTGTAGTGCCATACAAAATCTATGGGAGAGTTTCGTTTTGACAGTTTTAAAAGGTACGTCAATGAGGGCTATCGTTTTTTTACTTAACAGTTGACACCCCTGGCGATTGACAGGACCTTAAGAGTAAGGTCTTATGAGTAATCTTGATGAGTGCAATTGCGATAGTCCTCCTACCACTTTAGCGCTCACCAGTTGGTGCCACTGTCTTCGCTACTAGCAAGTGACAGGACCTTACTCTACAGTGGCGCTAACTGGTGAGCGCTAAAACGATAGCCCTCATTGATTGGTGGTGTCAACATGTCTATTGTTAAGATTTACCAGCTTTTTGCCCACGACTTGGGTTGTGCTGATTTCTATAAATTGATGACATTGATGTCCATGTATTGACTATAATATGCTTTAATACTGTAAACTTTCATGAAAACCTGTTCAGTTCTTTTTGTATTTATAAAGGAGTAACAAACATGTAATTATTCACCCACCATCACAAACTTTCGGTTTTAGAACGCATAATAATTATTACTACTTGTCGAACAATAATTAAAACATTTTAATTCTGATGTTATTGAAGCATCGTCCTTGTTTACTTGCCAAAAACGTAAGTAGTAAGGATTTTACAACATCTCAGTCAGCTAATTAATTAGTTAATTAAGTTGATTGCTGTTTGTGTAAATAAACCTATGTGAATGTTTTCCAGATAATATCCACTAATTAGTAATTATTTATTAATATTTATTTAGATACGATTCGAGTTACTAATTACGGACTAACAAGCAGTGTTATGTTTCACTGACTATTCCAGCACACAGCTGAGAGCGGAGCGACGAACTGCCAAGGTTTCAAAGAAATTGACTTGGAACCGTTTCTCAAAATGGCTAAGAAGACGAGGCAAGAAGGGACAAGATATTTCATTATAAGCAACCAAATGATTTATTTTTCTAGAAAAAGTTGCTTCTCTTTTGTTTTTGTTTTTTTTTTTTTTAATTCAGAATTTTATAAGCTGCCAGCCCTAGTAAGCTAACTGGCCACAATCACCTGTTACGCAAGCGCAGTAATGATCCATCGGAGTCACCGCTGACCGGTTAACATTTGTGGCGGCCTTACACAGCTTGCGACACGTTGGAATAGACATGCATTGTTAGTTACGTCACTAGCGAATTAAGCTGTATGTGTGATTAATGTGTTTTGTAAATAAAAACATGTAAGACATGTTAGTGACTGACAACCCTGAAACGCCGTGACAGTGTTATTTTTTTTTTTTATGAATGATGAATACCTAATAGAAAAATATTTCGTCGGAAAACGGAAAATTCGTCAAATTCTAATTCTTTATTAGTAAGTACATCGCCCTATTCAGGACACGTCTCAATATAGCTTGCCCTACCAAAACTTCGGGACAACATCTCGGCTGGTTTTGAGAAGAAGTAGCAATTTGTGGCAAGTCAAATTTGTACCATTCATCATCATAATTTAATAATAAAATATCTCAAATGGCTGAAGTTTCAGTGAGCCAGTATTGTCACAACTTACACTTTAATCTTCTTAACCGACTTGTAGGGATGTCCTTGTCACACGTCACAACCAATTCATTTAAGCGAAGCTGGCGTGTCCTTAGTCACAAAGAGATCACAAAGGTCAGGAAGATAATTATAGGCGCAGGGACTTTTGCTATAGGTTAGTTTATGCATGCAACGACATAAAAGTCAGCTGTCAGTACATAAAACACCTAAATGATTACTGAACGTACGTTGTTAATTTATAGACAAACCCCAAGCAAACCATAATTAAATCATAAAAGTAAAATGGTCTATTTCACTTTGATCATCTGGCTTTGATCACCCAGGTGATCAAATTGAACTTCAAGCGACAATTTGGTGTCTTTTGATCACCCATGGATAAGATGACCTGGGTGATCAAAATGGACTCCAGTTTAATCAATAATTTAGTTTCCTCTGATCGCCTATAAATAAATCACACCTCTGAATAGCCACATATCATGCATGTGTGTCCAATTTGTTTGTTGTGGTTTTTAGAAAATATAAAAAATGTTACAAAGGATGATGGGCACAAATGTATGGAAAGTGGTACCCGCTCCAATAGCCATAACCAATATATATTTCAAAAGGCCTTTAGATGTAGAAAAATGTCTGCTATGGGGCCAGTTCTAATTCACGTTTTGAAAGCAGTAATTCCACTAAGTATTATATGAAAGTATAACACAATCATCCATGTATACGAGTATGTACTATGACTAGAATCTATTAATATAACTAAAATATACATTGAAAAGGAAAGGATTACACCTACGATGAACTACCCAAGCCATTAGCCCTTTATTCGCTTTCATCATCATCATCATGATCATTTTAGCCATAGGACGTCTAGTTGAACATAGGCTTCCCCCAATGATTTCCACAATGGCCGGTTGGTGGCGGCCTGCATCCAGCGCCTTCCCGCTACCTTTATGAGGTCGTCGGTCCATCTTGTGGGTGGACTTATTGGGTCTTGTGGGTTTATTAGCTTTAGCAACCTATAATAAAACCCTTAAGAAATAATAAAACTCCAACCCCTTTATTAATAAAAGTTACACCCTAGTTGAACTCTGGCTTAAATTGTCATTTGGTATGGAAATGTCATTTTAATCCAAGGTTCATCCTAGGTATAACTTTTTATTAATAAGGGGGTAGTAGTTCTTCAAATAAAAACATTTATTTCACAATTATCCCTATCAATAATTATAGAGTTAAGGAAGGATGCTGGAGCAGTAAATCCTTCATGCCTCGCATAACCTAAGTACCATACGATGGACACGTATGATACTTCGGTTACACAAAAAGTATGTTTATCTTCGAACGCAACGAGATCTGAGGCTGGTGGCCATAGTAAATGTTGTTCGTCTTGATAAGACCTTTCAAATGACACTACAAACATAACCATTGGAGCCGGGTACCATTTTGCAAAAAAGTATGTTTATCTTCGAACACAACCAGATCTGAGGCTAGTGGCCATAGTAAAAGTT